CGCACGAGAGAGAGTTGAAGAGAATCCCCTCGGAACGATCCAATCCGATCGCGAGCCAAAACACTTCCGAGGTGGACAAACGTGGCGTGTCAATTGCGTCGCAGGATCCGTGCGTGCGCTTGATTTTTCTTTCCGTCCGTTTTATCCATTTACTTAACAGATGAACAGTCACTTGAAGGTTGAGTTGAACAGCGACAAAGTGAGGGTCGTGGTGAACTCCTTCACGAATGGCAGCATCGTGGTGGACAGCTTCATCGTGGTGGACAATCTCGTAAACATGACCATGCAGACGGTGGAGAACGGCCTGAGAAACATCCTGCTCGCCGTGGCCAACGATACGAAACTTCCCATGAACGTCTCGTCCGTCCTGATGTCCGGTGAGCATCGCGCTCGCCCCCCCCCCCCCCCCTCCCCGTGGCGTTCCGTGACGGTCAGCACAGGGGGCTGCTCGCCAACAGCGGCGACATTCTGTGCAAGGCGTTGCGGGGGATGTTTGTGCGTGCAGACTTCGACGAGTGCCAGAACTCGACGCGGAACGACTGCTCGCCGTTCGGGACGTGCACCAACACAGAGGGCTCCTTCAACTGCTCGTGCCTGCCCTTCTACGAGGACGTCTCCGTGAACACTGCGGGGAGAGTCTGCCTGGGTGAGGCCCTGCGGACGCTGCCTGTCCTCGTCGCGGAGTCGCGGCGACCGCTACTCGCAAACGGCGCCACTCTCGGTCCGTACCTTTGACCCCTGCGACCAGGACCGTCCGTAGTAGGCGGGCGAGGTGGGGGGGGGGGTGTTGCGGGGCCCGGGGCAACTCATCCACCCCGTGGGCCCCTCACCCCCCCCACCCCCCCTGATGGCTTCAAACTACCGCCCCCTACTGGACATCTGTGAAAAAGAGCTTTATAGCTCATCGGATTCCTCCAGTATGAATACATATTTCCGATTCCCCGCATATCCTAGGGATGGCTCTGCGTGCAACCTGCGATGCCACGTAGCGGGTGTCGCGCGAGCTCGTCACGTGACGCGAATTCGGTCAGAGCCGTCGCGTGTCCCTCGGCCCCTTTTCCACGTGTCCACGTGAACGACGTGAGGCACCTGCCCAGAACCACGCTACACCCGTGCGCGCCACGACACTCGCTCGGCGCGCCGCACGCAAGCCGTGTCTTCTAAAGCGTGCGGATCGTTGCCTTCAACGTCGCAACGCCCCGCGTGTTTTTGTGAAGATGATTCGGTAAATGTTGACGGTGAGGTAGCCCCGTTTGCGGCTGCTCCCGTCTCTGTGTGTGTGTGTGTGTGGGCCTGGGGAGGGAAATCAGAGCAACAGTTTCTGACTGACAGTCACCGAAACCTGAGACTGCTTTAGTCGACGGGACCGAGCGACTGCAATAATCCACGGACTAAGAGTAACTTGTCAGCACGCGTGTCTCCTTATCAGTCGACACCCTGGACACCCTTGCAAACGGTTTGTTCCACCTTCAGGGATTTTGCAGTGAGATACTTTAATAAACAATACAACACGATTTCAACATTTTACATTCTGACTGAAATGATCACTGGTCAGCACTGCTTCTGGCGTGACTCCCCACTCTCTCTTCCCTCGTCTGCTCCCCCCCCCATTTCCTCCCACCCCACCGCAGCACCTCAGCCCCCACGGAACGTCAGCGTGTCGTTGCAATCGACGACGGAGCTTGACCTGAGCTGGCTGTACCCCAGCAGCCCTGTGGACGGCTTCAACTGCACGCGGACACACACAGACAGTGGCAAAACGGTGGTTGTCTGGAAGTCGCTGCCCGCCTCCGAGCTGGGCGTCAAGTTCCTGGGGCTGGATCCCGGCACCACGTACAGCTTCACGGTCCACAGCTACCGGGGCAACTTGACGGGCGATGCCGTGCAGCTCAACGCCACGACCAGTAGGGCGCTCGGGGGGGGGGGGGGGGGTCCGTGGAGAGTGCAGAGCTGCTCTCTCTCTGTCCGCACTCTCTCTCTCTGTGCTCACTCTCTGTACTCACTCACTCTGTGTGCTCACTCACTGTGCTCTCTCTCTGTGTGCTCTCTCTGTGCTCTCTCTGTGTGCTCTCTCTGTGTGCTCACTCTTGCTCTGCGCTCACTCTCTCTCTGTGCTCACTCTTGTCTCTCTGTGTGCTCTCTCTCTCTCTGTGCTCACTCTCTGTACTCACTCACTCTGTGTGCTCACTCACTGTGCTCTCTCTCTGTGTGCTCTCTCTGTGCTCTCTCTGTGTGCTCTCTCTGTGTGCTCACTCTTGCTCTGCGCTCACTCTCTCTCTGTGCTCACTCTTGTCTCTCTGTGTGCTCTCTCTCTCTCTGTGCTCACTCTCTCTCTGTGCTCACTCTCTCTGTGTGCTCACTCTCTCTGTACTCTCTCTGTGTGTGCTCTCTCTCTGTGTGCTCACTCTCTGTGCTCACTCTCTCTCTGTGTGCTCTCTCTCTGTGTGCTCACTCTCTCTGTGTGCTCACTCTCTCTCTGTGTGCTCTCTCTCTGTGTGCTCTCTCTCTCTGTGTGCTCACTCTCTCTGTGCTCACTCTTGCTCTGTGCTCACTCTCTCTCTGTGTGCTCTCTCTCTGTGTGTGCTCTCTCTCTCTCTGTGCTCACTCTCTGTGTGCTCTCTCTGTGTGCTCTCTCTCTCTGTGTGCTCTCTCTCTCTCTCTGTGCTCACTCTCTGTACTCACTCACTCTGTGTGCTCACTCACTGTGCTCTCTCTCTGTGTGCTCTCTCTCTGTGTGCTCTCTCTCTGTACTCACTCACTTTGTGTGCTCACTCACTGTGCTCTCTCTCTGTGTGCTCTCTCTCTCTGTGTGCTCTCTCTCTGTACTCACTCACTTTGTGTGCTCACTCACTGTGCTCTCTCTCTCTGTGTGCTCTCTCTCTCTCTGTGCTCTCTCTCTGTACTCACTCACTTTGTGTGCTCACTCACTGTGCTCTCTCTCTCTCTGTGTGCTCTCTCTGTGCTCTCTCTGTGTGCTCTCTCTGTGTGCTCACTCTTGCTCTGCGCTCACTCTCTCTCTGTGCTCACTCTGTCTCTCTGTGTGCTCTCTCTCTCTCTCTGTGCTCACTCTCTCTCTGTGCTCACTCTCTCTGTGTGCTCACTCTCTCTGTACTCTCTCTGTGTGTGCTCTCTCTCTGTGTGCTCACTCTCTGTGCTCACTCTCTCTCTGTGTGCTCACTCTCTCTGTGTGCTCACTCTCTCTGTGTGCTCACTCTCTCTCTGTGTGCTCTCTCTCTGTGTGCTCTCTCTCTCTGTGTGCTCACTCTCTCTGTGCTCACTCTTGCTCTGTGCTCACTCTCTCTCTCTGTGCTCTCTCTCTGTGCTCTCCCTCTCTCTGTGTGCTCTCTCTCTCTGTGCTCTCTCTCTCTGTGCTCACTCTCTGTGCTCTCTCTCTCTCTGTGCTCTCTCTCTGTGCTCTCTCTGTCTGTGTGCTCTCTCTCTGTGTGCTCTCTCTCTCTGTGCTCACTCTCTGTGCTCTCTCTCTGTGTGCTCTCTCTGTCTGTGTGCTCACTCTCTCTCTGTGTGCTCACTCTCTCTCTGTGTGCTCACTCTCTCTGTGTGCTCACTCTCTCTGTGTGTGTGCTCTCTCTCTGTGCTCACTCTCTCTCTGTGTGCTCTCTTTCTGTGTGCTCACTCTCTGTGCTCACTATATCTCTGTGCTCACTCTCTCTCTGTGTGCTCACTCTTGCTCTGCGCTCACTCTCTCTCTGTGTGCTCACTATCTCTCTGTGCTCACTCTCTCTCTCTGTGTGCTCTCTCTCTCTCTGTGTGCTCTCTCTCTGTGCTCTCTCTCTGTGTGCTCTCTCTCTGTGCTCTCTCTGTGTGCTCTCTCTCTCTGTGTGCTGTCTCTCTGTGTGTGCTCTCTCTCTGTGTGCTCTCTCTCTGTATGCTCACTCTCTCTCTGTGCTCACTCTCTGTGTGCTCTCTCTCTCTGTGTGCTCTCTCTCTCTGTGCTCTCTCTCTGTGCTCACTCTCTGTGTGTGCTCTCTCTCTGTGTGCTCTCTCTCTATGCTCACTCTCTGTGTGCTCACTCTCTCTCTGTGCTCACTCTCTCTGTGTGTGTGTGCTCACTCTCTCTCTCTGTGTGCTCTCTCTCTCTCTGTGCTCTCTCTCTCTCTCTGTGTGCTCACTCTCTGTGTGTGCTCACTCTCTCTGTGTGCTCACTCTCTCTGTGCTCACTCTCTGTGTGCTTACTCTCTCTGTGTGCTCACTCTCTCTCTGTGCTCACTCTCTGTGTGTGCTCTCTCTATGTGTGTGCTCTCTCTCTGTGCTCTCTCTCTGTGCTCACTCTCTCTCTGTGCTCACTCTCTGTGTGCTTACTCTCTCTGTGTGCTCACTCTCTCTCTGTGCTCACTCTCTGTGTGTGCTTTCTCTCTGTGTGCTCACTCTCTCTCTGTGCTCACTCTCTGTGTGTGCTCTCTCTCTGTGTGTGCTCTCTCTCTGTGCTCACTCTCTCTCTCTGTGCTCACTCTCTGTGTGCTCACTCTCTCTGTGTACTCTCTCTCTCTGTGTGCTCACTCTCTCTGTGTGCTCTCTCTGTTTGTGTGCTCTCTCTGTGCTCACTCTCTCTCTGTGCTCTCTCTCTGTGCTCACTCTCTCTCTCTCTGTGCTCTCTCTCTGTGTGCTCACTCTCTGTGTGCTCACTCTCTCTGTGTGCTCACTCTCTCTGTGTGCTCACTCTCTCTGTGTGCTCACTCTCTCTGTGTGCTCTCTCTGTGTGCTCACTCTCTCTGTGCTCACTCTCTCTCTGTGTGCTCACTCTCTCTGTGCTCACTCTCTCTCTGTGTGCTCACTCTCTCTGTGCTCACTCTCTCTCTGTGCTCACTCTATCTGTGCTCACTCTGTGCTCACTCTCTCTCTCTCTCGCTCTCCTCTGATCACGAGCGCGTGACACGGCGCTCGCTTGCACCATCGTTGTGATGTCCCAGCGATTTAAGTAATCGATTGAGCCACCTATTTCTTTTCGTGGCGCTGCTGCTGCATTGGCAGCGGTGCACGAGTGCACGCAACAACAACAACGACGATGACAACAACGACAACATCAACAACAATGACAACAACAACACCAAACACGGCAGCGGCTCCTTTAAAGAGGGGAGAAGATAGGTATTTTCGATTTAAAGCTGTCGTGACTGCAGGGATTCATCTTCTTGGTTCTTTCGGTAAAGTCACTTAGAATGGAAACAAAGTAATAAAAATAAAACATAATAAAATAAAATTCTCACGACGTTTCGGCCACAACACAAGTAGCCTTCAGGTGAAGAAGGCTACTCAGGTGAAGAAGACTACTTGTGTTGTGGCCGAAACATCGTGAGAATTTTATTTTATTACGTAGCCTTCTTCACCTGTAGCCTTTACAATTTAAAATACAGAAACGCGTATCGCTGTTTGCCGTGAAAGTTGGCTGCTGGGGGTCGGGTCGTGTGCAGGCGTGAAATCACCTGAAGAAGGCTACTTGTGTTGTGGCCGAAACGTCGTGAGAATTTTATTTTAATTTGTTATGTTTTATTTTTATTACTTTGTTTCCATTCTACGTGACTTTACCGAAAGAACCAAGAAGAAGATAGGTATTCATTTATTTTGACGGGCCAGGCCCACTGAGCTATATAGCTCTTTTTCAGAAGCGACCTGCCTATCACAAATGATAGCTCAACGATGTTGTTTATCACGTGGAAATGTACGGCAGCCAATTAAAATGTACAGCAGCCAAATACGCGTGAGAGAGAGAGACACGCGAACTCCAAATATACAGCAGACGTTGGGGTCGGGATGGAACCCACGACCTCCCGTATCCCAGGCGAGGTACCTAACATCTGGCCCGGGGATCGAGACTAACGACGGAGTGGCAGCTGAAGGAGGTGACGCCGCTACTCCAGAGCGCATTCCTCCGTGGAGATAGAGCGATGCCATCCGCGATAAAATAATCTCGCGTGCGTGTGTTGGGATCATGAGCGGCAGCTTGAGGAGGCCTTCATCCAGCAATGGGTGGAGTGTGGTTGATGATAACGAGTGCTTAAGAGCGATGATATTGATGGGCCATGTGAATTTGTAAATACGTTTTTTTCCTAATGGCGACATTAAACAATGATTGATTGAAATTATGATGATCGATTAATGCTGATGGTGATTGATTCAATGATAATGACAACGATGATTATCAAATGATGTTAATTATTTAAACAATCATAATAAGGACAGCGATGATGACTGTGACAAATACGATGGTCATAATGACGACGATGACGACAATGACGATGATGACGATGATTACAATGATCATTACGACGACGATCTTGATGACGATGACGACGATTACAATGATGAAAACGATCATGACGACGACAACGATGACCCCGCTGCATTTCCGTCGTCTCCGCAACAGAGCCCCTGACGGCGGTGAACGTTCACGCCAGCAAGACGTTCTCATCCATCACCGTCACGTGGGACGCTCCGAGCGGCCAGTTCGACTCGTTCACCCTGAGCGTGGCGCCCACGGAGAACACCTCCTCCACGGCGGAGGGGCGCGTCTTTCACATCAGCAACGGCACGGGGCTCAAGCAGCAGGTGCTGGGGCTGGTGTGGGGCAGGAGCTACACCGTGGCGCTCTTCACCGTGAGCAACGGCGTCAAGAGCTCCGCCGCTTTCCCCACCAACTCCGACAATGGAGTTCTCTCGACGGGTACGGGGAGGGGAGCGGGAGGGGAGTGTGGACAAGAGGGGAGTGTAGTGGGAGGGGAGTGGGAGGGAGGGTGAGGGGAGTGGCAGGGGAGGGGAGGGGAGCGGGAGGGGAAGGGGGAGGGGGAGCGGAGGGGAGCGGGCGGAGGGTGGGCTTTTTCCGCTGCCGTATCCAAGCCAGGCCAGCACAGGCCCCTCACGGTATGGATAGTTCTCCATTGTCTATTTGCCGAGCCGAGACATGGCCACTCCGTGATGCGCTGGCCTCACAAGAAGACATCGGAATCTGGCTTGGAGCCAAGCAGGGCCATGGGCGGTACTCGCGATGCATTAGTTGCATGCGAAGTGGGTCATTGCGACTCAGTTTGCTGATATCAGCTGCCTGGATTTGTACCCGGGCTCCCAACGGCGCCGGCTCAGCGCTCTGAGCCGCCCGGTTATCTGTGTTTGGGAGTTTCATCGACCTGCCGGTGATGCGAGGGTTGCTGTCGGACGTCTGCTTCATCGATTCATGCTCCGCGTTTCTCTTTTCTCAACAGAGAGCTGTCCGTCTGGAGGGTTCCCCGGTGTGGATTGCAGAGGTGAGTCCTCGTCGGCCTGTGTCGTACTCCGCACAGAGCAACAACAGAGCAAAGCGGCTCGCCACTTCCTTCCATAGCGCAGAATCGCGACGGAGACCGTTACCACGGGAAAAGTTCCACCGTTTCAGGCGTACATTTTAACGTGTGGGTAGTTATTTGTTTGGGCATAGCGTGGCCTCTGATTTGGGTAGCGGAATGAATGGGTACAGCACAGTTGATCGACAAGTTGCCTTCGGTGGGGTAAAGTGTGGGCACTCTCAAACTCTTCCAAAACACCTGACCGGTGTAGAAGAGTTTGCCAAATACGCCCGAGAGGCTATCGCTAGTGAAAGCCCTTGTGCCAGCTGTAGCGTGAGCAAGCAGCTGCATGCCAGACTTCTTGGAAGATGCGCGATACCCACACTTTACCCCACTACACGCGACATGCCGATCGGCTGTCTGCAGTGCACCCATTTATTCTGCTGGATGGACACAGGTGGGGAGGATTGAAGGCACTCGACTGCCATGCCGGGAGATCGAACTTGCACCCTCTGGGTCGCAAGCGCAGTGCGCCGCTAATCACCTCCATTACACCTCGTGCCTTACTAAAGTCAACTATGCATGCTTCATGTTCCGAAGTTTTGTACACGTTTGACTTTTTTACTTTCTTCAAATGTTTTCCCCAGGGAAAGCCTCGCTTGAGCCTCTCTCATGGAAAGGTCAGGTGGCAGAATTATTACGTGAAAAAAACGTAACATGCGCACTCGTGTAAAATTGATCGTGGTTCCCCGCAGATTTCAACCGGTATGAAGCCACGCTGCGGATCGACCGCGTGTTCGACAAGAAGCTCGAGTCTCCGAAGTCCGAAGAGTTTACGGCACTCGCCACAGAACTGAAGACCGAGGTAATGCCCCCTCGCCTCCACTGGCCGTGAGCAAACTCAGCCCGAGGGAGCCCTGGGTTTGTACAGCACGTGGGGGTCAGCACTAAATGTCAGCTCAGGTTTTAGTCCCAAAAAAACAAAGCTCAATGGAAAGGTAATGAATAATTTCAACATGTAGGCTTTAACACTTGTTAATGGATAATGAATCACTCTTGTCTTTGCCTCGTCTCTATCTCTCCTCTCTCACCTAATGCCATCTTTTTCACCGGCTCTCCAGTTTCGCTGCATCTGCCTCTTTTCTCTCTGTCTCTTTTGTAATCTCACTTGCAGTTTATAAAGGGGTTTGGGGGTGGGCGCTTAAAATAATTTCTTCTTAGGGCGCCCCGATGAGGCCAGCACAACCACTACATTCGTGCACTTATTTGGCCTATGTCAGGCGTGGGCAGCCTACGGGCCGAGGGCCGGACACATCCCACGCTGCCACACGAGGCCCACCACTTTGGGCTAAGCCCAAAGGGCTTCTTGTGAAACCCCATCTGTCCATCAGATCTGTAAATCTTAGCGGTGGTGGCCACGCTGCACGTGGCTGCTGCCTGTAATCCAGCGCTGCGGAGGCAGCAGCAGCGAGGGGTTGGTGGATCACCGCACACAGATGTTGCCAAAAACTCCCTTCCGGCGGGCGTCAAGGAGGTGCCTGTAACCTTGGCTCGCCACGAGAAGGCGGTAAAGCAAACGTGAACTCCACTCGTTTCCATCTCTACGGCATAGAGAATTGCCCTCTCGTGCTCCTGGAATTTCTCCGGGTGATCCGGTTTCCTCCTGCATGTGAATTCTCATAAATTGGCCGATAACACCTCGATATATATAGGGCCGTAGAACTTGGGGGTGGGGGGAGATTTTGCGTCGGCTCACCGCCTGGCTGCTGCTGCTACCTGTCCTGCTTATCTGCGGTTCCTCCTCGCCCCTCCGAGTTGTTCTCTCTCTCGCAGACTGAACGAATACTGTGCGCCTCTTTACGGCTCGAAACGATGATTGTTATTGTCATAATTATAAATGGATCCTGTCAGTCTGCCCTTCTGCCTTGAAATCCGTCTGCACGCCTAATCTCAACGCTTTGCCTCATCTCAACGCTTTGCCTCTCCAATTGCCGTTGCAGATGGACCGAGAGATGTCTAAAAGGCTGGACTCCTATGTGGGCGTCATCGTGAAGAGGTTCTGGAACGGGAGCGTTAATGCAGACCTGAATATTCTTCTGAGTCCTGGGAATGTCATGAGCTGGTCGATAGTGACCGAAGCACTGAAAAACTCCACCAAAAGCTTCAATAACATCTTCATCCTCAACGTCAGCATGACAGGTGGGTGACGTGGGCCTGGTGGTGGCACGTTTGTCGCTTGTTACGGAAGTTTCTGGTTCAAGCCCGTGGCCACCCTGGTTAACGTTACGGGTTTATTCACGCTGCGGGTGTATTAACATTGCTGGTGTATTAACCGGTGGACGTTAACGACCCCGTGATGTTAATTGAGAGACAGAGCAGGCCACGTGTGCCAGCATCACCGAAGGATCGTAACCTTCTTCTTTGGTTCTTTCGGTAAAGTCACGTAGAATGAGAATAAAATAATAAATTGATAAAATAAAATAACACAATAAAATTCTCACGACGTTTTGGCCACAACACAAGTGGCATTCATCAGGTGAAGGGACGAGACTGTCTGGAGGACAGCGCTGGAGCGAACAAAGCCACGCTTAGATCGCGACCTTTAAGCTGTGTGAGAAGACACAAAGCGCCTTGACAAAGGAATTAGCATAGAATTTATCATTGAAATAGCTTAGTGATTAGCTTGTGACTGGTCACAGAAATGGCTATGTTAAATTCAAAGCATACACATCCACAGAGGCACCCCTTGACAAAGGAATTAGCATAGAATTTAGCATTGAAATAGCTGAGTGATTAGCT